AACGAAGGGATGTACGCCATGTCTGTCAGTCTCATTTTTATACGTTTGTCGCATGTAGATCAGGACACTCAGTCTGTGAAGTGTCTTACTCAGAACCGAGAAGCCCCAGGCTTTTCTTACCTTTGAATTTGAAGATTAATAAATGAATATAATTTTATCATAAGGAAATAGGAGACTCCACACTATACTTGCCATATTCCCGCTGTCGTTGAAATAAGATATTCCTTGTTGATGGCATGAAAATTGAGATCATCGCCCCTTCATAAGTTTTATTGAAGGAAAGGCACCAGAAATGGTACCACTATGAAAGCGTAATGAAGATCGACGGTTACGGGCTTTACATTTTTTTGTATCTATTCAACTGTTGAGCTCTATTGTTCATAAGTCCGTATTGTTTTCTCACTTATTGCCTGTGAAATTTATTGCCCTATATTATTATGTTTTTTTACCATTCTCTCCTTAGGTAAATCCTTTTTATCATCGTCACTTATAGGGTCCTTTGACCTCCTTCTATAGGCATTCGCTTTAAGACGCGTTTATGCGTTCACTATAAGTGATCATGTCGGTATCCGGGTAAAATTTTAAAGTTGTGCAAATGCCGTTGATTTCTACTTGGAATTTTTCTCATGATGTTTGATGTGCAATCCGTTCAGGCCTGCCAACGATGTACCATCTGTTTGCCGTGAATGTGCCGTCTGAACAGCGCTCTAGGGCGTTCAGTTATTTGTCCGCCTTTGGGTCTATCGGACAGACTTTCGTCACTGCGGTAATACGAGTGATATTCTTGTTAGTGGTCGTTGTATACTGAGCGTCTACACGCTTCAGGCATGTCCGCACATACCATGGCGCTGGCCTTTCTACATATTTGGTGTGGCCGGTTTGATCTGGTGTTTGGTTTGGATGATATATTACGAAAAGTCAACGGCGACTGTGGACGAAGAAGCGCTTCTTTACAAAAAGGTATTTTGAAGATTGGAAAAGGAATTCTGAACATCACCATACACATAACACAAATCGCAGCTGCTCTGAAAAATTTGCAGAAAAGTGTTCATGTCTGTATTTAAGGATTTATGAAATGAAAATGGATGCGATAATCACCCAACTCATTTAGTAATGAGGAGGCAGAAAAATAATAAGCAGACAATACAGCAATGCTTGAGGAAGTGTCGTCAATCGGTAATTAACGTGGGGGCATTTCCTCGGACATCGATGTTAATTGGTTTGTGGTTTTCGAGTCTCCTGACCGAGATGCTGTCGGTCGACATATTGCCATCAAGCTTAAAATATCTGACTCTGTAGATACCGCGTAGTTGGCAAGTACAGAAGGGGAAGTTAGAACTTATCATACATAGCGATTTTCTTGTCGGCATCGATATCTAGGCGAGCACGCAGCTTACGAAACATGATTGTTGTCGAACGGAATTTACAAGTTTGCAATTCAAAGCACTGAACCTACGTTAAAAAGCATAATTAAAGAATGAGGTTAAATAATGAGGCTTTTTTACGTAATTTAAATTTAAAAACAGCAATCCTTCGCAAAAATGTCAAATGTGCTTTTCACGTGACAGGTAGGACACGCATTGCCTACTGTTGCTTCAGCCACACTTTACGTCATATTATTCATGTATTCCTTTGGCTTCGTTTAGAATTTGAGCCCCTTGCGAAATTGGCGGAAGTTTTTCTTCACTCGTCCGCTGCTGGCCGTTTATTTCGCGCATTTCTGTATGAACTGGACGGCGTACATCATTATGCACTGGCTGCCGACATATCTTCACACGAAACTGAACGCTGACACACAGACGCTGAGTCTGGCTTGTTTGCCATACGCGTTCAATAGTCTCTGTAGCATAGGTAGATCTTTATGCCGAGTAAGAAACGGCCTCGACAGTTGCCTGCTTCTGACATGCAGCGCTCGTTTGCAGGCGTTGGCCACATCGCAGATTCGGTCGTCAATGGCAAACACTTGACCGTGGCGCAGGTACGAAAACTGGCGACGGTCATCGGCCTTGTCGGACCGGCGTTGTTCATTTTTTTCTTCGCCGCATTGTCTCACCTCTATGCCGCCGTCATGTATTGATGCTTTGTTGCTTTTTTCAGATTTTTGTATTTATTTTTTAGCGTTATATCGGTGAGCATGGGATTACTGGCGTTCAATAGCCCGGGGCATCTAAGCAACCATGCAGATCTCTGTGGAAAATACGCCGGCATTTCGTTTGCCATATCGAATACGATTGTAAGCCGACCAGACTTTTATTAGATTAATTATATTCTCTTTTATCAGAAGAGATCGACGCCGGACTTTTATTTCAATGGGGATTATTCGCTGTAGACCAGGCACATGCCGTATTGCCCTTAATACAGTTGTTATGACATTAACAGACGTTTAACTCACTCAGCATTGTGACCGTTTCTCTTGTTATCCCTTGATTACCTCCCATGTATGTCATATTGGTTTACTTCTCCATTTCTCCCATTACTATTAGAGTTGAGTTAAATGAGACATACAGTAGTCGTGATTAATCTGAGCAACTTTGCTGTTCAGGCTTTATTTGCCATCGGTGACAGTATTGAAAATAAAAGTCCTGTAGCACCTGACTGTGGATTAACCTGAAGATTATTTACTTGCTTATCTACCTACTTACTGGCTACATATATTTGCTTAAGTATTTAAATACCAGCTTTACTTATTAATCTACCAGCTTGCCTGTCAAAGTATTGTTGATGACTTTAGATGACGGTATCAACAGCAACAGCTGTCATATGTTGCATTAATTTCATTCATAATTTTGAAGATTACTTAATTGTTTTCTTGATCATCTACTTTCCTACTTGTTGGCCTAATTAAATTTACTCTCGTGTCCTTATGTCCATATTTGCCTACGATTCAGATAGATGCGGAGTATATATCGTTTATTTGGACAGCTTTGCTGTTCAGAATTTGTTAGCTTTAAATAACGTTGACAACAGCAACAATACTAAATTCCCTATGCTTTGATCGATGAAAGATTTCCTACTTACCATCGTGCCTGCCTATTTATGTATCCACTTATTTTCTTACCTATTTGATTGTTTATGGTTGCTTATTTACTTCTTACCTACTTGAGTTTTCACTTAGTTTCTTTGAGATAGCACCAGTTTGGCAACACTGCTGCTCAAGCTTTATTTGCTTTACGATGACGACTACAACAATGCCATATCGCTTTGATGTCGATCATTTCGAAGACCATTTACATACTTACTTGCTTGACTACAAATATGCGTAATTACATGCTTTCGTACTTCTCTGCATACTTATGTTTGAAGTTGATGCAAACCAGAAATGATTTGTTCAGGCTTTGTTGTCTATCGATATTTCTATATTATGCTATACTGCATATAATACATGACTTGCTTAAGTGGGAGATAATCTTTTTAGTGTCACGAACGGGCATAAAAGTGCATAAAAGATTTATTTAATATATCTTTACGACCCAAACTAACGTTTTAGGACAACTTATGTCCGCCTTAAGACTGATAAGTATAAAGATGGACCGAGTTTATCCGAAATATCACTTTGTCGTAGATATGTTTATGCAAGCAATTCTTTTATATGTTGTTCTCTGGTACCTGACGTTCCAAAAGATATATTTTATTCTTTTATTATAAATTTAAATTTTACATCATATTCTCTTATTTAAAAGATATTTTATCAACAGCTTGGGGCTAATCAACGATATATTACAGTTTGTTCGCACTGTTATGATGGTATCCAAAGCAATAGCTTTCTGACGTTTTCTGACATGATGTATCCATGATTTTCTGGTGGTTGAATAAAACCTAGCTTCATTGATTTCAGAATGAGGTCATTTGCCGTTCCTGCCCACATTGATCGATTTTAAGATTTTGTTATTTTCGTTTTTTTACCAAGTTTTCTACATGTTCTCTGCCAGTTGAACAGCGACATCAGTACTCCGCGCGTTCACCCTCTGCTGGTCATTTCGTGGCACTTGAACATCTGTTATGCACGGCTTCTGTTATGTTGGCGTCAGTAAAGTGATTCATTTTCACGACTGCGTTATATACCGAGTTCGTCGCATGATCTCTGTTTCCTGCACCATCTGTGGTTTATTAACTGTCTGTAGCGGTGGTGAATCTGATTTCACGGAATAACAGTCATGCTTTTAGTGCGCATAGCCTTCTGTTGCATTGCGTTTTGCAGATTTGTTTAGTTTAAAATTGAGGTACAGTCAAGGATGTCAGTCATCTTCTTTCGTATGACAGCAACGGCTATGAATCGAGATCTAATTTGTGCGGCTAGGCGATGGAACCGATGGCAAACGAATGTAATGCGCCTATTCCATTTTCGAATTTTCTTGATTTACACTTGTTGAGGATGAGGTCGACTGTTTTATCTGCGTAACCACAGTCGCACTTTAGGCTTTCTTTGTAGCGCCACTTGTGCATTTAGTGCTCTCCTGGCATGGCTTGTGTAGATCCTGTATTAGGTTACTTATCGTTTACTGGTCAAGTGGAATCCGGATAGAATTATTTGTCGGATAAGCGTTTGTTTGGCGCGTTGGAATTTTGCCAGATTTTTTTCCCAGTCATTAGTATCGAAAGATGATGCTGTAAGGTTGGATCGGTTTGCCAGAATGGTTTCCGCAACTTGAGTCATGCCGTAGAATGGTTCTTGAGGTCTTGGTGAACGGGCAAGTTTCATTCATCTTGGATTTTGCGGTACTCTCTTAGGCAGACTTCGCGCTTTCTTATGTCGAATGGAAGTTTGTCTGAAAGTACCGGTAGCCAGGGAAGTGGAGTGCTGTGGAGGGCTCCTGTTATGACCCTCATTGTGTTGTTGAGGATGACAGAGGTTCGGTATGTGGCTTCTTTGGAGCAACTTCATTGCACAGTATATCGCTGTAGGATCTGTAGTAATGAGGGCTGTTGTTCGCAGGGTGTGGGCGTAAAATCTCCATTAGTACAGTGCTAGTTTTGACGTAGGTACTTCAGAGATGTTCTCGAAACGTGAGGCGGCGGTCAAAGATTACTCCCAGGTATTTCATGCTGGTCTTGCTTGTGACTCGATCGCAACAAAAGATACTTCGAGTGTAGCTTTCGCCAGACGGCTGTTTAGATGAAAGGCGGTGGCAGTTGTTTTCGACGAATTGGAGGAGGAGGCGCAGCATTCGTAAAAGTCTTCCATTGTCTTCAGATCAGCGGTTAAGGTTTCGCCGACCTGGTGTAGACTTTTTTCTTGGAACGCGTGTCATGTCCTCCACATTGGCAAACTTTCTGACTATTGTTGGCAGCACGTCGTTTGTATAAATGTTAAAGAGTATGGGTGCCAAGATGGAACCTTGCAGCAGTCCGTCATTTACTGTCTTAGTTGAGCTAATCTGATCACCCAAGTACACTCGAAACCTTTCGGTGCTGAGCACTGATGTTAAGAGAAGCATATTACCGCAACATTTTAATATCTCTGCATATTTCAGTAACATTTCCGTTTCTTCACACCGCATCTAAGGCGCAGCCTAGGTCTGTGAGAACGACTCCAGTCTTTGGCCTTCTTTCCAATTCAGAAGCCGAATTCACTAAGTGATAATAATGCAATTACTTGTTCGGGGTAGGTTTTTAGGGGCCGAGGCTTACCTGCTCATGCGACAATGCTGGCCCTGTGATAGGCGTGAGACATTCCAGCAGAGCCCGCTCCCACAGCTTGTAAGCTGTGCTGAGCAGCGAGATGATCTTTTGGCTTGACGCTTCATTAAGCGGCTTAGATTTCGTGAACGCAACCACTTTCACTGTCTTCCAAGCGGTCGCATGTCCCTGGTGCAGTAGATTTCTGTGAAAAATGCGGGAGCTCTTCTGACCGTTAAGTCCCAGATGTTTTAAGAACTCAGGAAAAATACCGTCAAATCTTTGCGCTTTAGCACATTTGGTTACGACGAGATTGGCATCAATTTTGCCCCTTGTTTAGGGGTGTAGAACATCGAGATCAATGGAAATACGGCGATTTTAGGCGATTCTTGTTGGTAGCGGTTTTAGTCGACGAGTCTCTTAGTTCTCTTCACCTGCTAGATACTTAGCATTCTGTAAGAATTTGACAGCCACCGCGTTAGTCGTCGTTTTTGGGACCGTTGTTCTTGAGGAGTCTCCGTTTTCAAACTGCGTTCTAGGTTCCATGCTACCACTCAGCTGCGTAATGGTGAGGTTTTCGAAGGTTTCTCGTCATCGCTTCCGTCTTCTGGTCTGTCAAAGTTTCCGTTGCTACACCTGGATCAGCAGTACTTTCGTATTCTTTAAAGAGCAGCTTAGTTGCAGGCAGCCAGCATGCCTTCCGGTATCCTCTGGGAATATGATTCACGACTGCTGCATTTTTGATTTTGCTGAAGAGATCTAATTTTCCAATGGTAGAAGTGAATGAAGATCCACTTCTTTCAGCTTCGGAGGTGAATGATGACCAGTTGACTTTGCGGAAGTTCCGGCGTGGAATCGATTTCGTCGTTATTAATGGTGCTTCGATGCTAGTGTAGAGTAGCGAAGATTTGTGGTGGCTTCGTATGAAATCGCTCAGAATCGTAAACTGGCCGGAATCGGTGTTTCGTTGCTGTCAGTGGAGGCAAGCCGGAGGTCCGGGTTAGAGTCTTTCTTCCAACGTCAGGATCGAAATGTTCCATGCTGCTTCAGGTCGAAAAGCAAACGGCGGATTACTTCTCAGTAAATGCCCATTCTGCTAGTTTTTCTCTCGCACGCTTACTCTCTGGGTAGCTCCACTAAGTGTGGTAGTTATTGAAGTCCTGACATGGTGGACTGCGAGCTTATTTGTCCGTAAAGTTGATGGTGTTGGCCAATTCTATGTTCGTGGCTTGTATATATTCGTGATGATGATTTTGCCGATTTTGTGCTGACTCCGTTAATGCTTGCTTCGTTGAGAACTGTGAACATCCGATAGGTCTTGCCGTGCGAATTTTGCGATTCCTTGTTTCGGGTAATGTTTTGCGACAATTAGCTTGTAACTACTGATCGTGTAAAATGATGCCTTGAATTCATCGTATATGTGCGTTTTTGGTAAAGCAACTATGTCCCCGTTGTGATCCTTGAGAGTTTGCGACAAGTAATCGCATTTCGTGCGTAATGATATTGAATTGGTAAATGCGAAGTCTAGGACTGCTAGTTCGCCTGACTGGCCCTGAGAAAGGTCATAGGGTTTTTGCCTTGAGTGGCCCTGAGTAGGACCACTGGGTTCAGCAGTGCCATTTCGACGATTTGACAACATCATTTCGCGTTACAAGAGGACGCTTAACAGGTGAACCGTGTGAAAGTTGTCATCATTCAGCCCAAGGATGTCAGTACTACTACCTTATTAACTAACCGTTTCGATTTTCCATAAGTATTTTCATCGCTACACTTCAATACCCCACGATTATTTAGTTATGCTTGTCCTGTTGATTCATGTCACCGCTGCTTTTCTGCCACAGTGTTGAAACGCGGAAAGAGTTACGACCTGCGTTCTGCCAATATAAATGGCTCAATGTGTTGATCAGCAGTGGTTAACAAAATCAGCAACCCATTCACGCCACTTTGATTCCAATGTTTCATTTGCAAGAACATTTAGATTTTAAGGACAAATCGTGATATAATCAGATTATTAATTAATCTAACTCATGGTTGAATGACCGTGAGTACAAGGCCCTGCCATATCATTCTCCTTTCCTCCCTCTAGCGTTTACCTATAATATATGGCGCATCTGACTGCTAGCATAAAAAAAGGATGCAGGGCCGCACCATAAACTGATTGAAAGAAGGATTTCACGAGTGATATCAAGGGGTTTATTTTCAAATATTTATAAAACGATTTTTTCTTTCCGAAAGTCTGCTTCTCCGCTGTTTATGCCTAATTTTTAATTTGCCCATTCGTTTTTTTCTATTGACTGTAAGGTGCTGTTATTGTTTAGGCAACTTTACCAGGTTTGGTGGTCGGTCCACTGACGGCTGAATTCGTCACACAGTCCAGCGGGCGGTGGTGGCCCGCATTCGTACTCGCCGGTATGCTCAATTTGACGGGGGCCGTGGCATATTTAAATTATGGATCAACGAAACAGATAATTTGATATCTCTTGTCGCTGAAAGTGCTGTTTTATATTTTGGTCAACGTAACGTCGGATCTGTTTTGTTTGAACTACAAGTTCGTTTTTTTTTGTTCTGGCAGTAAACTTTGTTTCAAGGTGGATATCTCATGTTTAATGAGCGATTGTTTATGCTACTTAAATACTTTAATGTCATATTTTCGTTATTTTGTTTATTTTCGAAATATCAGTACCAGATTTAGGTTTCAAGTGTTTTGTTCG